CTGGCGGCGATGCAGAGAAGTGACGCAGCAGGCGTGCTCAGCATCTCTCTTTTAGGATGCACTACTATGGGTTTGGGAAGAAAAAAGATCCCTTTGACTAGGACATTGTAGCACATCCTTCCCCTCCTTTCCTTTACATCTGCAAATACTTGGGACTGGGGTACTGGACCCCTCCAAAAGAGGTGAAATTTAAGGAAAGGTCTCGGACAGTGGTGCAAGGCAGTGTATTAGCAATAGTGACACTTGAAATGAGGGAGATATGCTTAAGGAGAAGAAAAAGAAGTATTTGTTGTGTGGGCGTAATTATACAGCTTTAAATGAATTTTCACAGTTTCATAATCCGTATTCCCATGTCTGTCAGACTTCTGACTTCCTGCTTTGTGTCTGCATTAGTTTATAGGTCTGTACAGTGCCGTTTGCATATTTACTTCAGTTATTTCAGCTTTTTTAGCCTATCTTGTCACCTCCATACAGGATACACATTATCCTCATTTTAACTGCAAACCTTAATATAACTTTTATGGCCCTTGAAAGCAGAATGAATTCTGTTTCAGTGTGATGGTTTAGAGAGTACAGTAAACAGAGGACTGCTCCAGTCTGGAAATGCAAGTGAATATATTCCTCACCAACCCCCCTGACACAATTAATCTCTCACAGCATAAGTTACTGTATTTTTATTTTTTTTTTAAATGCAGATAAAGCAGTGCCTGTTAGAAGGGAAGTCCTTAAGGAGTCTTAAAGTTTGTTGTAATGATTTGTAATAGAATTAACAAGCCACTGTTAGCAATTCTGCTACGATTTGTCTTAAATTACAGTATCTTAAATGTAATCATATTCATTCCTTGTGTTACTTCAGTGCTGTACTGTAGTCTGAATCAATTTTGTCTTCTCTCCCTCTGTTACTCTCCTTGTAAGTACTTCCAAAATTCTTTTAATTATTTTTTTCCCCCCCATACAGAAACTTTAATCCAGAATATTACCAGTTTTCCATGGAAATACAGAAGTAGCACAGGAGAGGTTGTGTCTTTAAAGCTTCACATCAAAGAGATGTTTAGCTGTGTCCCCTTCTGCATGCATGCTCATACCCTGTACTGAGCTGGTTTTTAATATTTTTTATAAGCTCATAGATGCCTACTTCATGTCTTTGTGCGGGATTTTTTGCCCTTGGGTGTGGAACTCGCTGTCTGGGTCACAATTAGGAAATGCTTCTTGCATCTCCTGTGAAAAAGTGTTGGGTCACTGAGTAGATACCAGTTTTCAGCAGGATGGGAACGAGGCAGAATGAGACTGAAAAGGCTGGGAGAATGCTTCTGATATTAACGAAGATGGTAGGGGTATGGGCATGATGTAATTATCATTATTTTGGAATCAATAACTAGCATAGAGGGAGACACTTCAGAGGGACCTTGTTTGTGACGCGTTAGGCCAGGATTTGGGCATCAGTCACTCTGAGGATATGAGTACATGGCAGCGAGCATAGCAAAGCTCAGATTAGCTCTGAAAAAGCCCGTTTGGGTACCAGGAGCAGCGTGACGGTTGCACAGAGGTGTTCAGCCTCGTGTTGGATCTCTACTGCTTCAGTTTTCCAGGGTAGTGTGGAGCTGAAGGCTAAGAAGACGTATAAAGGGACTTTTCCTGCTTTCTGGGTGGGTGCTTCAGTGTCCGGACTCCAGTGGAGGTAGTGAGCATCAGTCCTCCTGTGCAGCCTTCTTCTGGAAAGAGCTCTGGTGTTGGCATGAATTTTGGTGAGGTTTGGGCTCTTTCAGGGGACTTACATGGGGTTCAGGCCACTTTTTGCCTAAATGGATTGCAGCAGAGTCTAAGTGAGAAGCAAGGTTCCCTCACACCAAGCAGGACACCTTCGGTGGTGCACAGGTAATACCAGGCTCTACTACAGCATGTGCTGATGCCCAGGCGGCTGCTGAGAAGAGTGTTTTACCGCTTGAGACTCCAGGCACCTAAATTCTGCCAAAATTCAGGCAGAACAGAGACAGGCCACGTGGCTGACGCCTGCAGCCTCCCAGTCTCGTGGCAAGGGGCACTTGTCGGGCAGCCGTCTGCAGAGACAGCAGTGTCTGACTGCTTGCTGCTGCATCACCCGTTGAGCAGAGGGACTGGGCTCCCCGAAGTTCCAGTCACGTGTGTTTTGGACTGATATAAGAGAAATCTTTTGGGTTTGTTATTGATAGAAACCTAACTTAATTTCCCCGTTAACGAGGGCTTAGTAGTAGACTACTAACGTTACCATGGTTCAGCGGGTTTCCCTTCTTGGCTAACTGTGTGTCCTTCACTGTTTTCTCTCTGTGCTGAAAGGAAGCTGTTAAAAGAATCAGCGTTGCTGAGTGGCAGATCCTATGTAACGGGGTGCTGCTCCCATCTTCACACCCGTGCGTGTGCGCTTCTGCACGTGCTGCCTGACACCACCGTCCCACACCCATTCAGAGCTCTTCTGCTGGCTCCTGCTTCACCCTTGGACCGTGGTGTGGAGATGTATGTACATACTGTGTTCAAATGACTTAACGGGTTTTACTTTTAAAGACTTTTTTTTCTGAAACCTTACTTTGTCAGGACCTCTGCAGCTGGCGTTACATAGCACATACTTAATTACCTGGTCATCACTGTGACCATTTTATCCTCTTAACCTCCACAGTTGCTACAGTAGACAATTTTAGGGATAATCTCGAGTGAATTTCTTTGGCCAGTATTAAAACCGCAAAGAAATTCAAAGTAGTTCCGTGAAAAAAGAGTCTCTTGATTAAACTATTTGCAAGGGATTGAAAGGAGGAGAGTACCAAATGCAAACTCAGTCCAACTGCAGGGAATTGGCTGTGGGGACATGCCCACGGGCTGGCAGCTGCAGCATTCCTGCACCCGTCACCTCAGACCTGTTTTAACCACGGAGCAGTTAATGCGGAATGGTCAGCAGTGCTGGGCAGGGAACGGGCCTTGCTGGCAGATGCTTACTGCTATTTATGTTATGCATTATCTCAGCCAGTTTTGCATCTGTCTTTGTTACAATTTTGTTTCCTGCCTTCAAGTTCCCCTTTTCTCATCATGTCTAATAAATTAAATTGAATTTGCAAAATATTACAAAGCAACATTAGGATGTGCCAGTTATGAGTAGAATAAATTAATTACACGCCGTGAACTAACTGAACTCATTTACTACTTGATGAATTAATTTAATCGTGTCTGTTACAAATAGGAGATCTCGAATGCTGGCAGAATAAAGAGCTAACTCTCTTCACAAAATCACTAGGGCTTCATGGTCAAAATTTTAGTTTTCCTTAGTCTCGTAATGGCCACACTTTTAGAAGTAGAAAGTTACAGCAGCCTTTTTCAATTTGGGGTTCTCCTCTGTGATTCCTGCACCACCTCCAGACATCTGCCTCCTTAATTAATTTGAAACTTTGAAGTTTCTAGTTATAGTTATATATTAGCACTAATTCTTTATCCTTACCTTTTTTCACTGGTCAAACTTCAAAAAAGCCATTAAGCATGTTGTCCAGCTCGAGATTCCATCCTGACAGGGTGGTCTATAATTCTGGCTTTTTTTGTGATCCTTCTTAATTATATTCTTAAAGTACACAGTGACGTTCCCAGATTTCCTCTGCAAATATGTATTTGACTGTTGTCTCCGTGCAGTCAAGTTCCAGATCTGCACCTCTCCACGTCATTTTATTTCTCTTGTGAGATGTTTGCCTGACTTGGGCACATGAGAATTTATAGCAGTCAGCTGCAGCTCAGTACAGTTTCAAGAGAAAGGAGCTTTCTCCCATGCCATCCCTCTGTGAATGCCACAAAAATACATTTTTATTTAGGCCTCTATTTTAAAGCTATACCTTCCTATGATACTTAAGATAGGCCATCAAGGTTTTTATCTACCTTTATATCAGGTTTTAGTGTCTCATTATTTCTCAGGCTTCCATCTTTTTTTTGTGTCTTTTCACTCTTTCTTACCTCAGGCAGTAAACTGGAAACCAAACTCCTTTTATTCTGTTTCACATGATGCTCCTATATCGGTGTGTCTTGGTCCCTGACAGGGACTCTGCCCTGCTGCAGTAGCTTTAATATGCCTCCCTTGGAAATAGCTGGGAAGGTATCTACATAGCTTCAAAATCTACACAGGCTGAGTTTCTCAGGGCCTGAAGAAAATCCGACTAGAAACAGAACTGCAGCCTTCCTTGGTTTAATGCTCAAATTCTGAGATGCTGACCTCATTTACAGCTTCAAAAGATGAAGCCAGTTACAGGGAGGAGACTAATAAAATCACAAGTAAGTTGCAGCAAAATGGATATATGTATGTTACGTTTTTCTGATAGATAGGGACATATTTTTCTAAGGCAACTAATCAATTGCTGTAGTAGATGAAAGCAGAAACTACTCTGTAAAACAAAATTATTTTCAAAATCCAGCAGCCGCTTTTCCCTAGCTCTTGCTTGTTTGTGTTTAATATATGAAGCATTATGCTGTGGTCCTCTAAGTAATTTTCATGGCATGTGCCAGAATCAGTGTTTATGACTGAAGCACAATGTCTTTTTTATCCTGGTGATGATATGTTCTGTAACAGTAGTCAGATACATGAACTGAGCAGTAAAAGGGCTTCAGGAGTAAGGATCAGTAAATATTCAAAGCTGTGAGTGGTCGGGTGGATGTAATCAACTCCAGCACTGCCAGATGCTTCGCTGGTTGATCCAGATGATCCAGTGAAGATCCCTCTCATCTCCTGGCTCCGCCAGCACAATTTACAGGCCACTGATCAGTCCCTGGAGAGGACTGGAGGTCCTGGAAGCTTCTGGGGGAGCTGCTGCTGTGGCCCCCCCACCCCGCAGCGGTGGCAAGTGTCGGCCGCTCTGTTCCTCTTCCATTCTGTAATAAAATGAGGTGATCCGAAACAGAACCCAACTGGTAAAAATGTGCTGTAGCTGTGTGACCTTCTGCTTTTGTAAGAGAGAAGCTATGCAAACATGCATTTAAATAAACCATTTTATCAATTCCAGGTGCTGATCTTGTGAGAGCGCCTTGCATATTCCAAAGGAAGAACATGTTGTTTGAGGGAAAATCTATTTATAAATATGCTCAAACTGAAAGGTAAATAATTTCTGTTTCCAGTAAATTGATGGAATAAGCTCTCTGCAATGGTTATGTTTCCTGTTGTGAAATACGTAGTGTAAATATATCTGGTACATACTATGTTTGTCTCTGTGCAGCACCAGCTTATCGGAAGTGGATATCTTCAAAAATTTCATTTCTGATTCCTTGCTTCTTCAGCATAACCAAGAAGGGTTCAAAGGTGGTTTGTTTTGCTCTGAAAATATTTTTGGCTTGGGTTTGGGTGTTTTTTTGCAGTGTCATACATGATGGGAGGAGTAAAGAACATTTGTCTTCAGCTAAAAGATTCTCTGCAGTCTGTTTGTCAGGCGTGGGAATTCAGTTGGGATTAAAAACAATCACTTGTAGCGGTCTGATTGAATTTTCTATCCCTCCTAATTGCTCTCTTTCTTTCTGTGTGATGATTTTAATTTCACTTCCTCTTCAATAATTGTGCAGTCTTTCAAAGTAGTCAGAGTTTGAGTTTGTACCAGGAAAAAAAATATAGATGAATAAACATTCTCATGTTGCGTTTATTGTTATTTTTAAAAGATACATAACAGCAGTTCTTTCCAGGTCACGTTTCATCCTTTAACAGACAAACTAGCATGGTTATTTGGGTAGTGAATGAATCCAGGGCTGAAGATAAGCAGAGGGGCAAAAGAGTTACGGGCGCCTGGTTTTAAGAGCTCACTTTGTAGAGGCATAAGTGGATGCGATACAATGCATGGCACAAGAATATAAACAGTAGGTGTAGTTTTTGAGTGCTTCATGACAGGGGCATTTCTGTTCAGCGTTGGGATTAGCATTGAAACTTATGTAACAGCTACGTTGCCAGGGTGGTTTCTAAAAATTATGCTCATTGCTCTTCAGAATCCGAAAGCTTTAAGTCAGAAGAAATATTTTAGGCTGAAGAAAAAAAAAATTATTTTTTTCTCCTAATCATCAGTTTTCTCTCAGATCCCGGTGAGATACTCTTGCATATGTAAGACAGCAGAAAAAAAAGTTTTTATAATGTAAAGTCATGGACAAGCAACAGTGAGTTTTGTTGTGGGTGGCTGCTTCATTAACATACCTTTGTTAACATACCTTAGAAAACAACAGGGAATTGTTCATTGTGGTTGTCCTGTATCATTTCTAAAGTATAACATTTGGTGCTTTTATCCAGAAAATTGTGATCCCCTTGGGGGGGGTGGGGGGGAAGTGTATTCTTGCTTCTGTTGCCCCCAAGATTGCTGTTTGACAGAAGAGCAGTCAGCTGCTATGGTGATGGGCACAGGGTGGGAACATGGACAGAAATAGAGAGGCGAGGCTGAAGCCAGACTATTCCTGCTTCCTTCTGGTTTCAGTAGCCCTTTCTGAATTCGATCATGACTGATTTCAAGGAGGTAGCAGGTTATTTTGCTGGTTTCCACCTCCGATTCTCAGGAATATCACAATATAATACTTGGGTTAAAAGCAGAGTGAGATACTCAAATTGATAATGTTTGTACAGGACTGCATATAATTTCCTGCAGTGCAGCTTGTGCCTGTTGTGCTTGAATTTGGATGCACAGAAATCTCCCTCCTCTCATACAAACTGAAGTCAGTTTTTTGGTAATGCATAATTCACATACTGAAGCCTTTGTCACAGAAACATCTTGCTGTTTTTCCCCCAGCTCGATAAGCCTGCTTTTGTATTTTTAGGATTTCTGTTGCCTAATAATCCCCCAAACCAGCCTGAAGAGGTTTCAAAACAAGAGTTCAGAGTAAATCTGAGACAACTTGTACGTCAAGGATACTGCTCTACGCAGTAGGTGATTCTCTGGCACCTTCTATTTACAGATCCTTCCTCCACACAGAATTAGTTCCCCGTGACATGGGGGCCCACCACTGCCATGGAGTTTGTGTGTAGGTGGGCTGCACCTCAAGGTAGTCTGCCAGGAGGCTTGCAGACCGATTTGGAAGTGTCTTACAAAGAGTGTCTGCACATACACTTCTGTATGAAACAGAGATGGCAGTTTCTTTCGATGAATTTTGAAGCTGTAATTGGAAAGGACTCCTTCCATAGGGAGCATATCTGTATTCTAGTGATGGGGTTAGTGATAAACCTTGATTGCCTGTTTTGACTGTAAATGCACTCACGTAAGTTCAGATTGTGAGGAGCTGTAACTTGGCTAAAAGCCTGTATAAAAGGCTGGAGGAAGAGAAGAAGTGATTATGAAGTTGCATTTTAATTTCTCTCTTTGAAGGAACAACACAAAAGAGGGGACTAATTCAAACAGCTTCTGGTATTTTTGTCTTCCAGATTCTGAGGACAAACATGTCAATAATGAATTGTTCGAGAAATACACAGAAAATTGTGCATGGTGGAGGCTGTTTTTTCTGAGGTATAGCACATCTGTGTCCCTCCTTGGTATCAGCTGGTATTGTAAATACCTTGTAGCCATCTGACCTTCCCTGTTAGAAGCTTTGAAAAGCTTCTGAAATTAAAAAGATACATGTACTGTGCATGCCTAACAGAGAAATTGGACTTTTCACTAGTGGGAAATACCGGTCTCTATTTGAGGGCTGTTCTCTTGTTCCAGAGGAATGTTCCCCAGATCACTTGGTAGCTCTTTTCAGTACAGCTAAACAAAGCACAGGAAGGAAAGCGAGGTATGCGAAGTACTGTCATCAGCGTAGGAAATTTTGACAGTAATGGTTTGTCATGTCATTAATTTCCTCCCAAATGACCCAGACGGTTTTTCTTCTTACCTGTTTATGTCAAGCCACTGCAGACCACCTGATCATATTAAATTCCAGCTGTGGAGGCTTTGGTTGTTTCTTGCACGTTGCCAATTTTAAGATAACAAAACTGTTCAGCGAGAGAGATTTAAATGGAAAAATTCAGACAGCAGGCCTACGGGGAAAGTTAGACCTTTTATAAAAACCTAGTAAAACATGAGTAAGAATCTCAAAGTTTGGTGTATTGATTTTTCTTGTGAAAGTTCAAGAACTGTGTTTCATTGCAGGCAGAAACTCATCTCAACTCCTCATGACCAGCTGAGCAAGGGAGATGGGATTTGATGCTATCCAGGGTGTAATTCCACAGTTCGTGTCTTTTTCTAGTGCCAGCTTAATAAATTTCTGCCTACTCCCAGCCATTCATTTCCAGCTCAGCAGCAATGCGGTGCCATCTCTTTCTTGACCGTGTGGAAAACCAGATGACTGAAAATACCTCAGTCAAGAAAAAAACCACTTTTCTAAAATTTGAATTAGAATCGTTTGAATGAACTTGTTACAGCATGGCCCGTGGGCAGTTGTACAGGTAGAGCTGAAGGTGACATGAATTGCAGCGTCAGAAGCAGCAGTGAGCACTGGAGGGTGTCCCAGTGTTAAAAGATCTTGCTGTCAACAAAAATCTACTCTGGGACCCTATCCTGGATGAAGGGGTTTCACTAGCCACAGTATTATTTTGTGTTGCTTTTCATTTTATTTTTATTTTCTTAAAAAAGATTAACATCTTGCTTGGGCAGGTTTGTTTTTTCTTCAGATAAACCGTCTCTGTGAGAAGTCAGTCAGCTTTGTGGACAGCCATGAATGTCAATAAAGTCTTGGCAAACACAGTAGGTATTTATTCAGCCTTGCAAATTAAAAACATTTTTCCTGCTTGTTTAGTGAAGGGAACAAAAAAAGACAAATTACATAGCAGATGAGCTCTCTTGATAGTTGGAATTCATTAAGCTGGTGGTGAAAACGCTGGGGGATTGATGGTGCAGAAAAATAAAAGATGAAGCAGCTTTTCCCCAATAGCTGTGGTTTAAGTTCAACTTGAAAATGACCAAAAAAAAAAAAAAAAAAAAGGAATTTGGAAAGTTACAATAAGTTGAGCAGTTTGTCAGACGTTAACGTACTCGCAGGCTATTGTCTGCAAATTACAGGCTGACTCGGTCTTTCAGCCTGTCATAGAAGGATCGTAAAACTGTCATAAGTAAAGCTCTTACAAAATCCATTTACACCGCTTCTGTTATGGCAGATCATGGGAAGGAAACACTAAGACCTATTTTTTTATGAATTTCCTGTACAGCATCATTAGTCCAGTTGGAAGTCTTTCCAAGTTGCTCCCAATAGATGTTCGCTCTGATTAGCCCTGATTAATGTGATAAAGAGCCCACAATGGTCATTTGCAGTCAAAGATGGGATCGTGGTTCACATACTGTTCCAAGTGCTTAACAGCAGGAATTCATCCCTGGAAGAAGAGGGTTACCTGAATAGGTGTTTGAATGCAGCTAAACCACAAGAATTATTCAACAGCAAAACAAAGCCATTATAAACTCTAATCTTGCAGTGGTTTAATCACAGACAAAACTTTACTCATGTAAGTAATCCCATCAATGTCAAGTAAGTCACGTGAATTCCGAAGTATTTAAGATCAGGGCTTAAGTCAATGATACATCATTTTCTCTGGAAGATTACATAACAGTGTTGGTTTGTGACTACAGGAACAAAAATGTAATCGGGAACTCTTCCAATCTAAAATTTTTATCTGTTTCTGGGTTTGCTCTATTTCCCAGGCTCTTGCTTTTCTGCTAAGTAGATACATAAATGTAAGGGCATTATCTCCTCTGTTCCTCTTCTTCCTTTCCAGTTAAATGAGAAAATTGCTCTCAGCTTTTCTCATCATTAAATCTAGGAAGGACAGAACAGTCCTGAAAATGTTTTAAAACTTACAGGACCTAATTAGAAGGAGGCATCTTAGAGAAGTACCAATAGCTCTCTATCTGCAGTTCATTTGTTTTTCCAATTTAGAAATGACAGTTTACAGCCCTAATGCGAGAGTGTTTCTCATTATCTGTGTTCTAGACACATGCAGAGTTATTACAAGTTTTGAAAGATGCTTTCTTCAAAAGTGCAAATGATAATAAGTGGAAGAATTTGCTGTCTGGATGGTCAGATGGAGATGCTGTGGTCTGCACCCATTCTAGGGCTAGTGGTAAAGACAGGGCCACGCAAGTGGACCTCAGCTTCAAATCCCATGCACGTCACAAATGAAACTGCAGAGGGAAAACGATGGGAGAGAGATACCATAGCACAATTTAGCCTTGCCTTGTCCAGGGAAGATAATGGTTGTGAAGTGTCGTTGTTTTCCTCCTTTCACAGATGGATGTCAGGTTTCTTGGACTTTCTCATGAGAATTTTCTTGGAGAGGAGTGTGTTAGTTCTGCTGTTGACAGATACCCTTGTGGGAACTGTCCACACTAATTTGAGATTTCTCTCTATTTTCAGCCATCTAGAAGTTAGGTTTCTAGTCTAAGCTTCTTGTTTTTGTTGTCGATTGTGGTAACTGAAGAGAGAGATGCATCTCTGGAGGTGATGAAACCTTAGAAACAGATGTAATTAGTTAGGTTTTTTTACATGGTTTCCTGCCCCCCTGAAGAGGAGTTTGAGACTATTTGGCTGTCCTCAGAGACCACAGATGGGTTCATCTTGGATGATGGTTTTAATCAACTAAAATCAGCTTTCACAGGACTTGCAGAGGCATGTACATTGTACACCGGCTATACTAAACTATAAGAGGGAGAAAGTCAGATGCTTCACTCTTCTCGAATACACTACAGCAAGGCAAAGTTTGAGCTATTTGCATGGCTCGAGGAAATGGTTCGGTCCTGCCCGCACTTTGAAGCTGCTTTAATTTAACCATGCTAAAGCATTAATGTTTCCTGTGCCTGCATGGAAGAATCCCAGACATCTGTGCGCTCGGGGCAGAGCCCGGGGAGGTGGGCACGAGCACAGCTCAGTCCTGCAGCTCCTGGCCAAGCTGCTTCCTGACTGCTCTGCTCCACACAGACATTTTCTGGACAGAAAAGCTGCATAATAAATCCAAGGCTGATGTGGCCTGGCATGGTTATAGCTCTTCCAGTAACTGAAGCAGCTGCCCACTTTCAGAGGCCCAGCCTACTCCGTTCGGTTGTTTTCCTTAAAATTATGTTGTTTTACACCCGCACCGGGCATGCTGTCTCATTGTGCCTCCCCTCTGCCCTGCCATCAAAACACACTGTGCCTGTTGCTGCTTCGGGTAATTTGTTCCTTGCTGAGAGGCTGTGATGTACCTATCGAGTACTTCCCAGAACGTATCACCACGAGCGTGGCTGGAGCCGTGTAGTCTGTGCAAACACTCAAAACTTGCTTGATATGATTCTGCAGATGTGATTTCGGGTATGTTTGTTCTGCCAGCTGAGATGAGAAGTTGCAGACAGGTTATAAAAAAATACATCTGTTTGAAAGGAGTAAATTGTCTAAAACACGCTTCAGTAGCAGACTTCCAGGAAAAAACCCTGTGTCAGACTTCTTAGAAGTAGTGCTGGGACCAGGTGGTAAGTTGCCAGATCTGAATAGTCCATAATTAATGCAATCCTCAACGTTATTTGGGCACACTCTTTTTTTTTTTCCTAATGTTGCAAATACCACCTCAGCGAGAGCTAGCAGACAGGTGGGCTGGTTTTCAGACTATCCGCGTGACCTTTTGAATGAATATTCATCTAGGCATTAATATATAGCTTCTGTCACACACCGATACTTCTGTTGCTGCTGTTAAAAATAAAATGCATTAGCATCTTGCAGGAGACCTTTCACATGTTTTGCCATCACTAGAGGGAGTTTGCAGCAGTGCTTCCCTTACTGATTTGTTCGGCGGTGGTTGTGCTGTGGGCAGACCTCAGCAGAGACAGTGTGTTAATAGAAGACAGTAACAAAAGTGGGATGAAGGTCCTTCTTTCCTGGTTAAACCCTTGTACATGTTTTTCAAGCTTGACTAACAAAATTCTTCAGAGAGACACTGCTGCAAGCAATTCTCTTTCTGTTGGTAGCACTATAATAGAAAACAGAAATGAACATTTGGTGACTCAATCCAAAATCTAGGGTAAGAACAAGAAAAAAAAGCATCAGCTATTTAATAGGAAAAATAATGATAAAAATCCAAGATGGATAGGTATTCTTTTGTGGCACTTCCAGTTTATTGTTACAGGACTATCATCCCAGCTAGAAATAAGCTCCCTCAGGAAGCTGGTTTCATATGGTGGTTTAGATTTAACTATTCATTGTCTAGCACCATTTGAAATCAGTGTTCTTGGAGGAAGAATGCCTGCCTTCATCAGTGAAACAGATCCTTGGAAACGTCGGTGGAAAAGAAAAGAAGGTTGAGATCTTTGCGTGCTCCTGCTGTTACAGTTGGCTCCACCACCAAACGAAGTCCCTCGGTAGGCTGGGACTGCAGAGTCATGGCCCAGATGCCCCTTGGGAGAGCAGTGTAATGTGCAGTTTCAAAGGCAGAAACTCTGCTGTAACACTGCTGAGCAACAGCATGTTTATAGTCTTCGTAGGTGCTGAAGCAGAACTTTGGAAGCAGAGAAGGGCTTACGAGACATGAACAATGCAGAAAAAAGCGTAACGCAGAATTGCAACACAATGTGGAAGGCGTTAACGCACCGACTAGTAAATCTAGTACAAACAACTAGTTTGTACAACATGGTGAGGAATACGGAAGAAAATTTGCTGCATTCTTCTCAACTCGAAGCCTGTTTCAGCCTTACGTAGATACATTTTTGTTAGTTCTTTACCACCCTTGTAAATACTTTGCCCATGCATCGTACAAGACACACGATACGATTTAGAGCAGATCATTTTAACTGTAAGCACTGGGAGTTCTAGATGCTGTTTACATCCCTGCTGTGTGTTTGCTTTTTCATTGTGGCATGCTTGGCAGATCTGAATATGCTTATTTATTTTGTGTGGCTTCACTTTCCAGTGGACAGGCTGCAAGCTGATAGCCTGGTAGGCTAGGTGTAGCTAATGAATATGGCCAGCATTAGCTTATGTGAGAATTGGACCACCAATGCTAGGCCAAGGCTACTGAAATTTGGAGAATTTCAAGTGGTTTAAGATGGGCTTTATTGTATTAAAAGATCTGTGTAGCTAATGATTGATTTTGATAGTTTTCACCAAATCATTGTCTTCTCACAGGCATTCTAATAATGTTTATAACATTTTTAGTGAATAATACCACAGAGGTTATCCATTAACACCTACCAAGTATTTGGGGATCCTACAATGTAAAATACTGTCCAGCACTTAACTCTTTATCCTTGCAGATCTCAGTAACCCCTTTAGAGGATGACTGATTTCTTTTGGTGTTCAGAGTCAATAATATTTTCTAGCACCATTTGAAATCGGTTATAGTGATTGGGGAATTGCTCCTTGTGAATTTTATACAAGAGGCTCCAAAGAGAATCTTTAATGGTATTATCTAGGACTGAAAAGAGTAAAGTGTGTTATTTTAGTGAACAGAGTTGCTGAATGCAGAAATACTACGTGCTTAAACTCTAGAGGTGTTAGGTGCTTTTATATAGGTGGAGACTTCCTAGGAGAAAATACGGTCTCTAGTAGATAGAGTATGTAAAATATGTGACAGGAGGTCTTGATTTAGGTCATCTGTGTAAAGATGGTACTTGGAATGGCTTGGAAAGTCATAGTGCTGAGAGTGAAGATGAAGGGAGATGGTTTTCCCAATCAGAATAATCAATGTGGACTGGAAAAAAAAAAAAAAAAACAAAAAACAACGCCAAACACCCTGTTGGTTTAATGGTCTGTCCGTGAGGTATGAAGAAATAAAAGTCGGCGGCAGGAAGGCAATCTCCAATTACTGCACTCCGGACATGCTGAAAGTGAGATCTTGTGAAAGATTTCATTGCCAGCCTGAGAGTTTTTTGCCTTCTCCTCTTATACTGTTAACAGTGTAAGCCACAAAACTTGAGTCATCTTCCCAAAGACGGTATAGTATCTAAGAAGTTTTCTCTGAAAATTCAGCTCTTCAGAGAAACAAAACTGCCCAGAGACGGAGAGTCAGTGTGGGTTGTGTCCCCGGTTGCAGCAGGATCTCATTATCCATGAAGATAATTTCTGAAAATCATCCTTGAACCAGCTTGTCATACTACATCCGTTTTTTGGGGAGTTAATAATACAGACCAACCTGCAGCGAGGCATCCCTGTAGCAGAGAATGTTTTCCTAGATACGCTGGTGAAAATAGCAATATCCTTCCCTTCCCTGCTGTTTTGCACAAGGAAAATAAAAAATAACTACAGACTGTAAACAACTGGAGCAGCTTTTGCGTATTCGGAGGTATTTCTAAAGTTGTGCCTGGTTGTTGACAATGAATTTATCTTTCTTTTCTCCCCTTCCTCTGTCTTTTCATTGGTATGTGCTCCCGTTACTTTTTTTTTTTTCCTGTTTAACTAAAAAGGGGTCAGATAATCACAAGCCAAAAAAGACTATATAAAAAGTATGTGGCCTCTTTCTAGTCTTTCACTTCATCCCTTTGTGAAATGCACCCTCATGACTTACCTTTTTTAGATGAAACTCTCAGAAGTGGGTAGTACTGTGTTGAGTACAAAAGGTTAGCCTTTAAATAAATACAAGGAAAAAAAAAGATTAAAATACTGAAAATGTAGAATGGCTAGTAGCATATTTTTTGCAGTATGATGCGGAGAGCTGACACCTGCCCACATACGTATTTTTGGGAGAGTGGACACGTGCTTGTCAAGGTTAAAAGCTATACAGAATGAAGCACTGCGCTCTGGAAGCGTGGCTTACAAGTAATCAGCGTGTTTTAAGTACATCCACTGCTTAAGTAGCTGCCATACAGACTGTTGCTTAAATGATTTCTTGTGCAACATCTTTGAACGAGCAAATCGATCTATTTGGAGTTTAGCTGCTTGTACTGGGCTTGTCAAGGTCAGATCTAAATGTCTAGACTGCTTTACAGTTAAAGGAAACTTGTTAGCACAAAAACTAATCTTAAGGTAAGAATCGATTCCAGAGTAATACAAAGTGATCACACACAAACAGCTGAAGGAGATTATTAAAGTTTTAATTATTTCCATTGAAAGGTAAGAGGGTTTCAAGCTGTAGTAATTTTCTCTTTTTGCACCATATAGCGAGAAAAGACAGAGCTGCCAAGTGCTTGGATCTCATGACGGGCTTTTCAGACGTGAGTACTGCTGCTGGTGTACCCAGGACTGGGTCCTGTTCCTTGTTGGATCTTTCCTACAGCAACAGGGAAAGAAGGAAGAAAAATGCTTCATGACAACAGAAACATTGGACTGTAAAATATACATATGTATGAGGAAAAGAGAAGCATGTGTAATGGGTTTCTTTTTTTTCCTCTTTACTCACAGCTCTTGGCCTTTTTAAAAAGGGAAGCTACCAGAAGACAAGTCTTCCCTGTCACACAGCCAGGTTTAGATGCAAAACTGTGTTTACAAAAATTGCACCAGTCTCAAAACGCTGATCAGGTACCGCAGTATATAACTTAACCTATTTGTTTGCAAGTCTGCTCTATCCTACTGTTTGATACCCTGCAGCAATTGCAAAATGTAATGTGCAGGGGGATTGCTTCGTGGCCAGCAGTGTTTGTCTAGTTGCTGGTGTTCTGGAACAACGTTAAAATAAAATAAATGCTTGGACTAAGCCAAAACCAGTGCTGGAAGTCAACAGCTCCTCTTCCCCCAAATTCTCACTTCTGGACTAAAGTAAAAGGTGGGTGGGGGTGGGGGTGGTGTGGTGTAACCCCAGCCCCCAGCTGAGCCCCACACAGCCCCTCACTCATCCTCCCCGGTGGGATCGGGGAGAGAATCCGAAGGGTAAAAGTGAGAAAACTGGGTTGAGATAAAGACAGTTTAATTGGTAAAGCAAAAGCCACACACCCAAGCAAAGCAAACCAAGGGATTCATTCCCCACTTCCTGTGGGCAGGCTCAGCCAGCTCCAGGACATCAGGGCTCCATCACACGTAACGGTGACTTGGGCAGACAAAGACCATCACTCTGAACGTCCCCCCCTTCCTTCTTCCTCCCCCAGCTCTACAGGCTGAGCATGACGCTGTACGGGCTGGAACATCCCTTGGGTCAGTTGGGGTCAGCTGTCCGGGCTGTGTCCCCTCCCAACTCCTTGTGCCCCCCCAGCCACTCGCTGGTGGGGTGGGGTGAGGAGCAGCAAAGGCCTTGGCTCTGTGTGAGAGCTGCTCAGGGACAACTAGAACATCCCTGAATGATCAACACTGTTTCCAGCACAAATACAAACTGCAGCCCCCCCCATACTAGCTACTGTGAATAAAATTAACTCCAGCCCAGCCAAAACCAGCACAGGTGGGTTGAGAGGGAGAAAAAGATGGTGTTTATTGGAAAACTTTTAATACAACAATACTTAATATGATGTAGTGTACCCATTCTCTCTTAATGAGGCATTAAACCAATTCGTTTTACTACACCAATCCTACGTTTCAATTATCACGTTAATTTGAAACTTTTGTGATCTCGCATCATAGTCTTGCAATGTCTGGCTTCTACGTAAGTGAGTTCTGTGAAATCTGTGAAAAGGCGGGGGGGCACCTACCCTGAACACACTGAGTAGGAGCTTGAGATGATAGTGGAGAACTGCTTTGTTTTCACAGCAAATAAATTGAGGGTCAGAACTGTAATTTGCAGCAGCTTAATCTTTAATTGATGAAACAACGCAGGCATAAAATGCTTGTGGAACAGGAAGCAAACCAAAATTGTGATACTCTAGAAGATGCTTCCTGATTTCTTCAAGCCAGTTTTGAGACTTGGTAGCCAAAAATAACGTGGTTGTGAGGGATCTGTCATGGCCTTAGCATACATTTTCACTGCCTTAGCGTACAGCAGAGGTACAACCAGAATGAACCCGGGTAGCGTGGCTTTTCCTGCAGCCTGGCTGAGTCCAGCTGGGTCCTTTGCTAAGTATGAAACAGCAGAGGCTTATGTTGGCAGAGTTTTGCTATGCTGTAAAACAGACTATTAAAGCTCACAGCAATTTAAAGATGCCAGGAGAGCAAATTCTTACTTGTTTGGGTAATCCTAACAAAAATAGTGCTATAATTTCTAGATATTTTCTCGGGTAAATAGATCCAGTGAGGGCAGCGAAGGGAAAGTACAGTGAAAGCAACCTTAGTTAAGCTGCCTGCATACACGAGAGGGTTTTTACTTCACACATCATTCAAGGCAGCTGTGCTCTTTGCAGAGAGCTGTCCTGTTTTCTGACAATGCTTCATCAAACTGGTGGCTTCTGTTTAACAGTCAGTGTGAGGTTAATAGTTGGACTAGATCATCTTCAGGGTCTTTTCCAACCTAGATAATACTGTAATTCTGTTCTCCAGCAGTGCCCTTCAGGTGCATCTTCCCCTTGAAACATCCAAGAGCTTTTGGGTTCCAGGTATAAAAGCTGGACCAGCCTACGTGCTCCCACCTCTGCTGTTGAGCAGGCAAGAGGATGTTCTGTGTGTTCATACCTGTCAGGCTGATAGTTACAGGCCTTTGCTCAGGAACTGTTCCCATTCAGTTCCTTGAAATTAAAGGCAACAAATGTTTTCCCTGTGTGTTTCTCACTCTTCTCTTGCTTTCCTACAACAGTCTATGACGAGATATGTGGCTGCCTTCTCCACTACCCGGATTGCTGGATTGCTGCCTTTTGAGCCACGTTCTGTGCAGCTTCTGTCTCTGCTGCCTTCTCGGCACCATGGTCTGTCTCTTCTCAACATTTCCTCTCTGGAGAACCTCCTGTGGCATCAGGTGACTTGGTTTCAGCCATGGGGGTGGGATGGGGTGTCCATAAAACCAGTTTTTCCTTGCATCTAGGAATAGTTTTTCAATAGCCACTTGCCATAAAAAGGAGAGGTGAGCCTTGGAATCACAAGGATTTGAGTTCGCTGGTTTGGTGCTAGGGGTGTTCATGTGATTGCCACAAAGATTTTCTTGGGCTCTGCTTTACGAAGCAGTTAACGTGTCAAGCCCTGCGTGTCCCTGGCTGATGCCAGTCTGCAAAGCCTGACACTTGCACGTCTTTGGAGCAGCACAGCCTGGGACGAAGTGGCTGGGAGGGGATGTCCAGACACGGTCTGGAGGAGCCGGCTCTGGTACAACTGGTACACACTGCATGGCAGTGCAGGGCATGGGCCTCACCAGGGAACATAAGGCATTTTCTTTGACTTTCTCATTTCTTCAGATATCATTACTTTTTGTACTACCATAATGTTACTGCGTGCGGGGGTGTTAACATGAAACCCAGTAGGATTTAGTTGTAATTAATAATTTTATTTGGAAGATACTCAAATGCCACTGTGCAGGATAAAACTAAAGCAGATTGGCAGTTGTGAAAGTCATAAGCACAGGTGAATTAGCCAATCTTTTAATAGCCTCCAGAGGACCACAAAGTGGTTTTCTCGACTAGCTTTTGCCATTATTTAATTTTTAGCCTTGCCTGTCCTTACTGTGGAACAGACTGGAAGGGGGTTGTTTAGTCTAGAGAAGAGGAGGCTGAGGGGAAGCCTCATCGCCCCCTACAGCTCCCTGAAAGGAGGGTGCAGAGAGCTGGGGGTGAGTCTCTTTTAACGAAGTAACAAGCAATAGGACAAGAGGTGATGGCCTCAAGTTGCACCAGGGAAGGTTTAGACCAGATGTCAAGAAGGATTTCTTTGCAGAAGGGGCTGTTGGGCGTTGGAATGGGCTGCCCAGGGCAGGGGGTGAGTCCCCATCCCTGGAGGGGTTTGAGTTGGGTTGACGCAGCGCTGAGGGATCTGTTAGAGTTGAGAACTGCCAGTGTGAGGTTAAGGGTTGGACTGGAGGAGCTTCGAGGTCTTTTCCAACCTTGATGAATTTGTGAGAACGGCTTGATCGTCTCCCAAATAGTTTTTCATTACTAGAAACAGCTTGGGCTGATGGCACCAAAAGGTGCCAAAACCCTTACAGATCAGAACCTGCTCTCAAAAATCACATCTGGGAAAACTTAAATTTTTCAGGAAATTCGTTGAGATTATCACAGATTCCTAGACTTTCAAATAAGCTGTCATGTAAAGACTCTCCATTACGTTTCCAGTGTGAGGACTGAAATCACAACTGAGGCGTTTATGAAGGAAAGAGAAATTACCTTCAGTGCAAGTAAATCTGCAGATTTCACTGTGCAAATCAAAATTCCAATCAGAGAACTTTTGAGTGAAACAACGGTGTAAAAAAACGCTTTTTAGTTGAGATTAGCCTGGAAATTTTAAGACACTCATGAATAATGTATAAACCATCCTTCCCACGGATGAGCGGCAGTACCAAAGCATGGCTACGTTTGTCACTGTATTGAGATGTTTTCTGGCAGTCGTGGAATTTTTATGGTGTTCTTGTTCATAATGGAGTTGTTGCTTAGCTTTTAATTTCCCAAATGTAAACAGATCTGAGGAAGCAGATCATTAAAAACGTTTGGAAAGGGCGAGTGAAAAAGCAAAGTACTTGTATGCTATGTTCTGAGCAAAGCATATAAATCACCAGCGTCGGAATTAGGCTGCCAGCCCAGAAATGGCATCAAGAGGAATAGTCAAAAGATTAATTTTTAAGACCATGGCAAGTCAGAAACAGAGGAGGAAAGAACCCAAGAGGTTTGAGAACCTGTCCTGTGCTTTATTTTTAATTTTAATACTCTTTTTTTAACACATACAATTTCAAAACCCAAATCCAATCCACAACTTCTGTGTTGTTGGGCTCTGCAGTCTCTGAAGGCGTGGGACCAGTTGACTTCACAGTCTGATGCTCCTGCATTACCAAGGGCTGGGAATGCTTAAATCCACGCAAAGGGTTTTTTGAATAGGAATAACAAAGAAAAAAAAAGCTAAGCTTCATTTGGTATTGAATCCATAAAGCTGTTTTCTAAACCAAGTTTGGGTTTGCAGTGTCCTCTGGGCCTTCAGAAGTCACTTCAATAACCCGTCGCCGTCTCCAGTGAGGAAAACCAAGGGACGCCTTAGGCTGCAGGGGTGTGTAGGGAGGGTGCTGGTGCCCACCCTTGGAAGGCGCTAGGACGAGGGGATCGGTGGGGGCTCGTACCCCCAGTGAGGTGTTCCTCGGCTCCCCTTTCCCTTCCCAAGCCAGCCCGCCAGATGTGAGATGCCGCCTTCGGCCTGGGAAACAGCAGGAGCTGCGTGGTTTGCTTCAACGGGAGAGGCTGTGGGTGGAGAGAAGCTGGCAGGGATCCCAGAAGCCGTTGCGAAGAGGCTGCTCGCGGGGGAGAGTGAACTCACCACCCACTTCGGATGAAATCATGGAACGGGCAAATTCGAGTAAAGGCTGGTGAGGCGAAGAAGGTGTTAGG